TTCTCATTTGAGATTTTAGCATCCACAGGAGCTTTAGAAAATTTGAAAACTTGTGACATTTCTTATTGTAGTGGATGTAAACTGGCAAAATTTTCCGCCTTACCTTTTAATCGAAGTATTTCTATTTCATCCTCACCATTTAATTTGATTCATTATAATGTATGGGGACCTTCTCCTTTTGCCACAAAAGGAGGGTCTTGATATTATGTCACTTTTATTGATGATCATACTCGTTATTGTTGGGTTTATTTAATGAAACATCGTTCTGAATTCTTTGAGATATATGCAGTTTTTTGAGCTTTTATCAAAACTCAACATTCTGCTGTGATCAAATGCTTTAGGTGTGATTTGGGTGGGGAATACACTTCTAATAAATTTTGCCAATTGCTTGCCTTAGATGGAACCATCCACCAAACTTCATGTACATATACTCCTAAGCAAAATGGTGTTGCTGAAAGAAAACATAGGTACATTATTGAAACTGCTCCTTCTCTCTTGTTGTCTGCTTTTGTTCCTAGTGAGTTTTGGGGAGAAGCTGTGCTTACTGCTGTAAGTTTGATTAATACAATTCCATCTTCTCATAGTTCGGGTCTATCTCCTTTTGAAAAGTTATTTGGGTATATCCCTGATTATTCCTCATTTAGAGTATTTGGTTGTACTTGTTTCGTTCTTCGTCATCATGTAGAACGCAGTAAGCTATCCCCTCGATCTGCTATTTGTGTTTTTTTGGGTTATGGTGAAGGTAAAAAGGGGTATCACTGTTTTGATCCAATAACTCAGAAACTTTATGTGTCTCGTCATGTTGTCTTCCTTGAGCATATACCTTTCTTTTCTATTCCATCCACTGCTCATAGCCTGATTAAATCTGATCTTATTTGTATAAATCCTTTTTTCTGAGGATTCTGGTAATGGTACCTCTCCCCATGTTTGATCAATTTGTACTCATAACTCTGCAGGTACTGGTACTTTACTCTCTAACACACCTAGAGCTCCATTCTTATCTATAGCCTTTCAAGCTTCATCTGAGATTATAGATCCACCTCCACGTCAGTCCATCCGCATTCGTAACTCCACAAAACTACCAGATTTTGCTTATTCTTGTTATTCTTCATCATTTACTTCCTTTTTAGCTTCTATTCATTGTCTCTTTAAGCCCTTTTCCTATAAA